GCTCATTTTAAATCGTTACTTTGACTTTTAATACTTACCTACAAAAAATATCAGATTCTTTAAGACTTTTGCTCAAGGAATATTCCTAAAGGAGACTTTAACTTTTACCAAAGTAATTTTTTGGTAAGATACTTGTACTCAAGTATCACTTTGTGGTACTTTATAAAACACTGATCAGTTTTAATATGAACCAAAGGTTTGGACCGAAGCAGAGAGCAGCCGTGTGAAACGCTGACTCAGCATTCAGACAATAAGAGCTCATGGACTCACTGAGCTGTTGTTGACTCTAATATTCATTTTTAATTCCCTCTCCAGTTTTCAGAGCGAAGTGTCTTCTCGGACAGATCGCTCTCCTCCCACACTCACATTGAACATTCAGCCGTGGAGAGTGCTAAACGCAGAGAGGACAAACGGCTCCGTCGTAGTGAAAATGTTACACATGCTGCGATGCTTCGTCCTCGTCTTCATCACCGGAGCACGCCTCCTCTGTTTTTGTTTCAGAGTCCGTGGGCCTGCGGGCTAAACTCCTGAGGAAGGTGGAGGAGCTGAAGAACGACTCAGTCTGTTCGGGGATCCCCGACGAGTTTCTGTGTCCCATCACCAGAGAGCTGATGAAGGAGCCGGTTATTGCTGCAGGTAGCACACCTGAACGCTACGGCTACATTAAAAACATGTTTTAGTTTATCGTGACGTTTGTCCTGTTTGCTCTAACAGATGGTTATTCCTACGAACGAGAGGCCATCCAGATCTGGATCAACACGAAGAACCGCTCCAGCCCTATGACCAACCTGCCCTTACTGACCACACTGCTGACCCCCAACCACACCCTGAAGATGGCCATTAGTCGCTGGAAAACCAGCCACTAGCGTCCAAACCACCTTTGACCTGCTGAAAATCTAACTGAAACGGGAAGTTTCAGGTGCAGGTACCTTCTCAGGCAGGTTCTTCAGTTATACCGCAGTAAATTATTAATTAGGAAACACTTTTTATCTTGTTTTACATATCGACACTAATAACATCACACAGAGTTCATCAGGAGCTGCAGACTGATCATTTCAATTCTTACTTTCAACACTGGTGGTGGTGGGCACAGCTAGCCAAAAATTAGCTTCACGAACCACTCATCTGCTAAACAAGAATCTTAACTAAACTGCTAAACAGATTACAAAATTAGTGGAAGCTAACGCTAACTGCTAAACAGAATACAAAAATCAGTGGAAGCTAACCGCTTAAACAGATTACAAAAATCGATAGACACTAACCGCTAAATAGAATGCAAAAATTGATAGAGGCTAAGCTAACCGCTAAACAGAATACAAAAATCGATAGAAGCTAACGCTAACCGCTAAGCAGAATACAAAAATTGGTGGAAGCTAACACTAACCGCTAAATAGAATTCAAAAATTGATAGAGGCTAAGCTAACCGCTAAACAGAATACAAAAATCGGTGGAAGCTAACGCTAACCACTAAAACAGATTACAAAATAAGTGGAAGCTAATGCTAACCGCTTAAACAGATTACAAAAATCGATAGAAGCTAACACTAACCGCTAAATAGAATACAAAAATTGATAGAAGCTAAAGCTAACCGCTAAACAGAATACAAAAATTGATAGAAGCTAAAGCTAACCACTAAACAGAATACAAAAATCGATAGAAGCTAACGCTAACCGCTAAGCAGAATACAAAAATTGGTGGAAGCTAACACTAACCGCTAAATAGAATACAAAAATTGATAGAAGCTAAAGCTAAACGCTAAACAGAATACAAAAATCGGTGGAAGCTAACGCTAACCGTTTAAACAGATTACAAAAATTGATAGAAGCTAACGCTAACAGCTAAACAGAATACAGAAATTAGTGGAAGCTAACGCTAACCGCTAAATAGAATACAAAAATTGGTGGAAGCTAACCGCTAAACAGAATACAAATTTTGGTAGAAGCTAATGCTAAACAGAATACAAAAAACGGTGGAAGCTAACGCCAACCGCTAAAACAGATTACAAAAATCGATAGGAGCTAACGCTAACCGCTAAACAGAATACAGAAATTGGTGGAAGCTAACGCTAACCGCTAAACAGAATACAAATTTTGGTAGAAGCTAATGCAAAACAGATTACAAAATTAGGGCAAGCTAATGCTAAACAGAATACAAAAATCAGTGGAAGCTAACGCTAAACCTCTAAACAAATTATAGAATTAGTAGAAACTAGTTCCACTAATAACGGAGTAATGGAACTGTGCCCACCACTGATCATTGGTGATAAATGTCCATATAGCGCATATATTTAATGAATATTATTCTKCGTCTTAAGCTAGTAACTCCACTGTGATAAGTTTTGTATCAACATTTTACATAGATTTTTTATTTTATTGATTCAAATGAGAAAATGTTTTTATTTTTTGAAGAAATGTGCTTTATTCCTCCTGTTCAGTGCCAGAAACTTGTAGAATCAATGCAGAAGTTCAGTAAAGCTACTGTGAACTAATTACAACATTTGGTTATTTTATAAACTTAATATAAAAATGTTTATAAGGCCAACAACATGCCTTTAATTGTAATACCGTGGGTTGCCACTAGGCAGATTTATTCTCGCTGTTTGTGTGGCTAAAATGCCACGTTTTTCTTTGCACAAGATCCTGGCWGAATGTTTTTCTTGCACCACATATCATTTGAATGGTCAGAACTTTATTGAACTGCTCTCGTTTCACTTCAWCTGCTCCTCTGAGGAGCCGCTGGCCGAGGCTGTTTGAGAATACAGTCGTCTTTACAAACAACTGTTCCAGCAAAACTTCTAAAGGTAAACTTAAAATTTACAGTCAAAGAACTCATGGAAAGAGATGGAGCAGAGTAGAGGTGTCCCTACCAGACTCAAATACCTTTGTTTTATAAAAACACCCCAATACTTTGGACCAGTACCACTTTCATGATTGATGATGTCRTTTCCTTTTCAATGTTGCAAGTTGCCGAGGGCAAAAATAAAAAAATATCTTTAGTTTGGAGATATTTGAATAAAAACCAAGGTAATGTTTGGACAGCAGGCTGTTTGCTTTGTTCTTTAAATACTAAATGTGTTTCTAAAGTCATGYAATATTAAAGCACTAGACAAGACAAAACTAAGACAAAAAGCTGCATAATTTTGTTCTCAGTGCAGCTTGATCCGCCCATTTTCTACACAAGGTCCGCGTCAAACTTGAGCAAAGTATTGTGTGATTGGTCAAAAGTTCTGGGGAGTGTTTTTATTAATGCAGTATATACGGAAAAGTGTTCGGACAGCAATGGCACCATCTTGCTTCAACTACTCTGCTTCCAGAATTTGTCTCTTTTGCGTCCAAACATGGAAAGTTTTGAGGAACAGTTGTCAGAAAGTACATCCATTTATTATTACTATACTGTACTGTACTGTACTGTCCATATACTTAAGAGTCAAATCATCAAAACCTCAAGAAGCTGGCACAGACTTTGTGCATGAAGGAGTCTTAAAGCCACTCATTTGTCGTGGGACAGAAGAAAACAACAAAAACTGGTCAGGCTTTGTTTGGTCAAACTTACCCTCCTTCAGCAAATTCCAACATTCATTAAAAAGTCAGTAATAACCAGATATTTCCATAAAACCAGTGACAGTTGTTATAGGTTGASTTGCAAAGAGCATTTATCTGTTCATACACACTGTTCCTGAGTTAAACTGTGAAAGCAGTAAATGTACAAATGTAGTTCTCCATTCTTGTTTTTCTTTATTAAACCACACTTATACTGTGGTAACATTCTGTTTATTGTAGTATAAGTCTGTAAAGGGTATATGACAACTATGAACATAATGCAAATGTAATAATTCTTAAATCCTACATTCTGGATCCAATAAAATCCATAAACACTTTGTCAGAATATTTTCTCTGCTATGCAAAAATAAATAACATACTGTGAATATCGAAGCAATAACGTTACATTAGAAGTTTTACATTAAAGTCATTTACAATGCCTTTTTTATCAAATGTACCATTCATAAGTACGTAAAGTGTTTTTTTTTCAACCCCGTTATGCTGACAGGTGATTGTTGCAAATATAGTGTCCACCGTACAAATATAAATGTTTATTAAAAGACGGTTGACAATAAAAATGGTCGTAACCTGCAGCTAAAAGCATGAGGTTTTTGTAAATTTGTGTGCAAAGCTGCTTCTGTCTTATGTTTTATAGAATAAGTTAAATGTTCAGACAGAATACAAACGCAGTTCTGGAAAAGTCGGGTCRTCGCGTAAAATGTCAATAAAAACAAAATACAACAATTTCAAAATCGCATAAACCCATTTACTGACAGTGGAACATAGTTAACATCAAATGTTACAGTGAAGATATTGCTTAAATTTTTGGGAACCAATTCTACAGGTTGTAGAACATCTGCTCTCAGCCAGACTCCATGTTGCTCAGGTAAGGCTTTGCTTATTTCAGCAAGACAACACCTAGCCACAAACTGCAATTGCTTTTTTTAAAATATTTGACACATATTTTAAAAACAAATTCTACAGGTTTTAAAATGTCTAATCTCATCTAGATGTCTTTTTTCAGGCAAGGCTTTGCTTATTTCAGCAAGACGTTAAGCCACAAAGTGCATTACTTTTTTATGGTACAATTTTTGAAACATTTGACACATTTAGTTTTAGAAACAAATTCTACAGATTGTAGAACCTCTACTCTCATCCGACCATCTTTTTCAGGCAAGGCTTTGCTTATTTMAGCAAGACAACACCTAGCCACAGTATGCAGTTGATTATTTTTGTTTTTTTTATTGGTACAATTTCCTAAGTATTTCGCACATTTTTTAGAAACAAATTCTACAGGTTTCAAAACATCTAATCTCATCCAGATGTCTTTTTTCAGGCAAGACTTTGCTTATTTCAGCAAGGTGTTAAGCCACAAAGTGCATAACGTTTTTTATGGTACAATTTCTTAAACATTTGACGCGTTTAGTTTTAGAAAGAAATTCTGAACCTCTACTCTAATCCGAACGTCTTTTTCAGGAAAGGCTTTGCGTATTTCAGCAAGACGTTAAGCCACAAAGTGCATAACGTTTTTTATGGTACAATTTCTTAAACATTTGACGCGTTTAGTTTTAGAAAGAAATTCTGAACCTCTACTCTAATCCGAACGTCTTTTTCAGGAAAGGCTTTGCGTATTTCAGCAAGACGTTAAGACACAAAATGCATTACTTTTATTTTAAATAGTACTATTTCTTAAACATTTTAAATGTTTACTATGTTCCACAAAATATGGGTTTATGAGATGCAAAATYCTGTTTTTATTTACTTTTTACACAATGTTGTCGTCGTTTGTACTAAATTTTTTTAAATCCCTACTTATCTAACTTCAGTAAACTCACTACTGCAGCTGTATACATGTAAGCAAAAAGCATGGTAGCCTGAGTTGAAGACTGGTTCTAGATTGTAAATGCAGTGCAGCAGCAGAAATCTACAAACAGGTTCAGGGGTTTTGGGTCGGACCCCCCTTGCTACCACTGTGGGACACGGTGTTGAAGGCGGCCTCGCCTCGGGTCGGCTGCGCTCACACGTTGGACTCGATGAATGAGCGTTTGGGTTTGATGGGAGCCATGTGCAGAGCCGGGTTGTCTCTGGTCAGGCTCGCCTGTCTGTGTCGGCCCTCAGGGAAGAGGAGCTGGGAGGACGAGGAGCCCCTGGTGTCTCTCTGATGGGAACTGAAGTCCCTGCTCTGTTCCTGGAACGAGGCTCGTTTGAACTCRTTCGGACCCTGGAACTCCACGACCGACATGCTGAAGCTCTCCGCTCCTGCCGGACCCTGTCGGCTCGGGCCCGAGGTCTGCTGGCCCTGGACCCGCACCGCTTTGTCCATGACGCCCATGAAGGGCCGAGGCTTCAGGTCGGGCTTGGCCTTGAAGCTGCCGCTGCTCTTTAGCGGGCAGGGGGCGTCCGGTCCCGGCTGCTTGCCCCCGTCTGACAGGTTCCCGCTGGAGGCCTGGCTGGAGCTGGAGCCCCTCGAGCCCGCCGTCCCCCCGCCGCCGTCGCGCCGGAGCTCCAGCCCGGACCCCAGAGCCAGAGCCAGGCTATCCAGAGGCGGGGCGTGGGAGGAGAGTCTGGAGAAGCTGGAGGAGCGCGGCTGGTACAGCTGCAGGGGTCCGGGCGGGGACGAGCTGCTGGGGGACAGGGGGTAGTARTGCTCCGTGGGGCTGTGTCGAGGGTCCGTGTGTCGAGGGTCCGTGTCCATGCCCGCCGCAGCAGCCGGTCTCAGGGACATGTGCCTTCCAGGCAGWGGGCTGGAGGGGCCGCACAGGGACACGGGCCGGACCCCGCCCCTGCTCCCTGACTGCAGGGAGTGACAGTTGTGAGTCCTGCTGCTCTGGTTCTGCCTGTTCATGGCGTGGACCAGATCATCCCCAAACACCTGGTTGGGAACGTATTCCTCCGGAGGCAGCGGCGACTGGTCCCCCAAACCGAAGCTCAGCGCTGCAGGGAGGGTCCTGTTAGGAGCGTAGGGATTCAGGGGCCAGAAGTCGGGGCTTTTCCCAGACGGCAGCCCCACCTCCTCGCCTTCCTCCACCTCTGTGTCCGCCGGCTCCAACGGGATCTGCCTCTCCAGGCTCCCCTGTGAAAACGCGTCCGCCTCCTCCTCCGCAGGTTGGTTGTAGTGAGGGTCCCTGTCGTGAACCTGCGTCGACCCTCCGCCGCACATCTTCTGGTGATGCTTGCATTCCTCCTCGACTCGCACCAGCAGGCGGCGGATCTCCCGGTTGGACGGGGAGAGGCGAGCCGCCTCGTGGAGGTCTGCCAGCGCCGCGGCGAACTGCCTGGAGGCGACAAACACAAACCTCGACAACTAAAACTTTTAAAAATACCTCCTTTTGATTGTGCCTCAGAGATGCTTCTTTTTCCAAATGATTTATTATTTTCTACCGGCTGCTCCTCTTGGCTCGGGCTCTGGCGTAAAACGCTTCATAAGACCGCGGCTTCAGCTCCAGGGCTTTTGTTGCAAACTCCTCTGCAATGCCAAAATCCTGTGTTCAAGAAAGGAAACTATAATAAACACAATGTTTATGATGGGATAAATCTTGTGCCAACAGGAACTGAATTTGAATTTCTCAGATTGAATCTGAATGTGCATAATTTGAAATTGAATGCACT